AGATATATAACTTACTTCCTATTCGGATATTTTGTCTAGGCTCGTTTTCATCAATTATATATGGATTGAAGAAAAATGAAAGACAAATGATTTTTATTCAACAGCACATGTAGTCTCAACAGGAATTTAAAGGCTTTTTACTCAAAAACCTGTTGACTCTCTTTTGGTTCAAATGTTTGTTACCTTGACGTTAGTCAGAGTCATATAAAAGAAAATGTTTGTGTGTCTACACGGAGAAATCAAGATACTAATAACTCTTGAGAATCCTCACTCTCATTTAGACTATTAAAAAGGTAAATCAAGTGGATCTGGAACGATTGGGCGTTCTTGCGTTCAACTAATAATTTAATTCTTTTTTTCTATACATAAAAGTCAAAATGTCAAATTTAGAAGCTGAAATATTTCATTTAATAAAACAAACTAATAAATTTTGATTATTCCTATCCAATGACTGTGATCTCAGTATTATTTGAAGCTTCACATACGCACTCAGTGATTGCTTGTTCAAATGGATTTTGATATCTAAAGTTATTTTTTGACAGTTATATAACGTTCAAATTCTTTTACCATGATACTGATTAAGGTTGTTAGCATAATCATATGATAATTTATTTTCTTGTTGTTTATTTCTGTCAGTATGGCTGCGTCTGATTTGTTACATGGACAAATCTCTGGCCAATGGGAAGATCCAGCCGTATATTTTTTTCCATGATCAGGACTATATAATATATGAAATATAAATTTCAGGACTTTACCATTCCATTCAAGTTTAGATGCATCGTCAAGAGCATCTAAACATTTCATAAAAATATGAAATTTTCCACTTATATTCATTAAAATAATGTCATTATCTTGATATTTAGTTGGAAAAATGGAAATTATCTTAACATCAGTTAGCTTGAACGATCTATCAGTAATTGGTAAATTGTTCTGAGATAAAACAAATGGTTCTTTTGTCAAACTTAAATTTATATTTTTAAGCACACCAGCTTCACTTGGAACCACATTGAATTGACATTTTTGAAGAATAAATTCATTTTTTGTATCGCATATTTCTATCATTTCATTTAATTTTTGATCCATTTTGTTTACAAACGCTTTTAAACTATCATTAAGTTTCTGCACAAAACTGTTCAAGGTTTCCTGAAAATGTGTATAACTGAAAATTTTATAAAGATTTCCTAAAAAAGATTTCAAATTACGATCATTCACATTATTCACTTTTGCCGACCATTAAATCGTAAAACTTTTGTTTCACTTCATGATATACGCTTGAATGCAAATTGAATGAAATATAATCAGAAGACCAACTATTACAGTTCGATAAGTTCAATTCTGATAATATGTACGTTAACAAAATGTTTATGATTTCGGCATGATTTGGCATCTTGATATTTAGATTTTCGGTTGAAAATCTTAGCTCCTTTTCGTCGATAGTAATAACTGAGCCAGGTATATCCTTAAACAACGTATCAAACGTTTTAGAATTATTGTCATATCAGTTTTGTATGATATTTGTTGTTTCAATACCAATGCGAAATGGAATATTCTTTTTTAGAATATCGAACACTTCTAATTGATCAAACAGTGATTTTTTTTTCATCCACTGATGTTCATTGTTAATTATATCTGTTTTAACAGAGACTTTGATCTTATTTTTTTGTTTGTTTATCTAAACTAAGACCGGTAAATGCTTTTACATATGGAATATATTTTGAATAATTGTTGCTAAACAATAAATAATTTTTATAATCAGCTAAATATTCTTTTGTTACTAATATATCATTAAAATTTATTTCATATGAACGAACGGATGAGTAATCATGCTTCTAGACCTACCGGTTTAAAATGAGACCGTTTAAAAGGGCTAGATAATTGATTCCACTGTTCATCGATTGATCCCTTTGAAGGACATATCATTATTCTTTTGGATATATGTTGAAGGATTCTAGTTAATGTTATCGACGTTGATTCTAGATTTATGGGTCGAGCAACAAATGCCTTACCATCAGTAATAAGTATCAAAGCAAATATGCGATGTGTATAAAATGCAGCTATTCTAGTTTTAGAATCATCTTCTATTGTAATATTATTATTAAATATTGAAGTTAACGATTTTTCTATTTGTGTCTTGCTACCAAATAAGCTTATCACTGCTATCTTCTGGTTTTAGTTGAGAAACTCACTTAATGCGAAAAGATTTTCATTAATCGCAATTATTTTATCTGTATCATATTCAGTAGATGAATCGTGAAGTACGACAAATATATCTCTCACATTTACAGTAGTTTCTTCATCGACTAATGATTCCATCTTGATAAATTGTCACCGTTTACTCTATAACACGAAAGTATGTAATATGATAACGACCTAAAAGCAGAAGCATCTATAGGAAACTACGGTCAAAAGAGACTAACACTGTGTCTGAGAAACAAAAAAGGAGAATATTTTTAGGTATTAAAGAACATACTCAGCTAGAATAAAACATCTTGTTAACACATTCAGCACGATGTGAGCCACCGGTGACTCACGGTATGTTCTAACGAGAAAAACGATAAAAGAACCGTTTTCTTTGCTTCTCTTCCCTAAGTAAAGAGAGACAGTCACTTCTTCACTGATTTCCTGTTCGCGAATGCTTTAATTATTCTATTATAATCTAATTTTCTCATAACAGCCAGCACAGCGTCGTCGGACATCGCGAGCATATCCTTCTTTTTCTTCGAGCTTGTGATCAGCAAGTTTGCGCT